ACTGCCAGGTTTCCCTGCTCTTTCAGAATGTGACACGACTGAAAGACTGGCTGGAAAGGCCAAATTATTTTACTGGAAGACACTTGATTCAACCTCCGAAGACTCTCTCCTTGCTCTGAAGGTGCTCCAGACGGCTGAGACAGCCACTGATGAGCTCATTGGTTCAGATGCCAGGTTTACTGTTTGAAGACCAACATTAGGGTGCTTGCATAGCTACACTGGTGACTGTTTCCCAAGAAGCAGACAAAGAAAAATTGCTGCTGGCAAGGAATCAAGAGGGCAAATTATCAAGCAACGGAATGGCTCTGGGATTCTTCCCTGCCCAACTGGGTATGGATAGCTCTTGGTGGTTGGAGGGATCACACCAATTATGTGTGAAGTACCATGCACTCCCAGATCAATCCTTCAGTTAATCAAGTGCTTGTGTGCAAAGACTAGATGCTCACCAGCCTACAGATGTTTGGCCAGCAGCCTGCCTTGTACAGAGATATGCAAGTGTGACATGGAGGAGAATCGGCGTGTCACAACGTGACTAACAACGATGCCCTAAACAGAGAGGACACTGATGATGACTGTGAGGAATAAATGTGTTCGTTCCTAAATGTCAAGGCTAATTTCCCTAGGATTACCAAAGATCAATGTCTTTTTTATGGAAGCAATGCATCCCTGTGTTACAGAATAGCAAAAAATTTGATTTTAAAACATTGTCTCAAATATTTATCGACATACAGTAGAACCTCAGGGTTCCAAACACCTTGGGAATGGAGGTTGGTCGTAACTCTGAAACATTCGTAACTCTGAACAAAACGTTATGGTTGTTCTTTCAAAAATTTGCAACTCAACATTGACTTTAATACAGCTTTGAAACTTTACTATGCAGAAGAAAAATGCTGATTTTAACCATTTTAATTTACATGAAACAAGCACAGAAACAGTTTCTATACCTTGTCAATTTTTAAAAAACTTTTCCTTTATTTTTTTAGCAGTTTATGTTTAACACAGCTCTGTGCTGTATTTGCTTTTTTTTTTTTTTTTTTTTTGTCTCTGCTGCTGCTTGATTGTGTACTTCTGGGTCCAAATGAGCTGTGCGGTTGACCAATCAGTTCATAACTCTGGCGTTCGGAACTCTGAGGTTCTACTGTAATTGTTCTAGGTTTGTCATGCTTGGTATCATTGTGTTCGTGGGAGAAAAGGCTTTCTAATGATACCCAACTCCATCCATTTCCAATGACATTGTGTTATCAATATGTCCACCAACGGGATGACCTGGAGCTGGGAGCCATGGGGGGGGGGTGTCAGTGAATCCCCCCACCACACTGCAGAGGGTGACACCATTCCGCAGATTTTTACAAATAAAATGACACTTCCTTTACCTTTCTATCACCACCCTGCCCACAGAATTAGATCTTATTACATTATGCACAATCCTGAAGCACTTGCATGAGAGGAAAGTGATCAGGAACAGCCAGCATGGATTCACCAAGGGAAGGTCATGCCTGACTAATCTAATCGCCTTTTATGATGAGATTACTGGTTCTGTAGATGAAGGGAAAGCAGTGGATGTATTGTTTCTTGACTTTAGCAAAGCTTTTGACACGGTCTCCCACAGTATTCTTGTCAGCAAGTTAAGGAAGTATGGGCTGGATGAATGCACTATAAGGTGGGTAGAAAGCTGGCTAGATTGTCGGGCTCAACGGGTAGTGATCAATGGCTCCATGTCTAGTTGGCAGCCGGTATCAAGTGGAGTGCCCCAAGGGTCGGTCCTGGGGCCGGTTTTGTTCAATATCTTCATAAATGATCTGGAGGATGGTGTGGATTGCACTCTCAGCAAATTTGCGGATGATACTAAACTGGGAGGAGTGGTAGATACGCTGGAGGGGAGGGATAGGATACAGAAGGACCTAGACAAATTGGAGGATTGGGCCAAAAGAAATCTGATGAGGTTCAATAAGGATAAGTGCAGGGTCCTGCACTTAGGATGGAAGAATCCAATGCACCGCTACAGACTAAGGACTGAATGGCTAGGCAGCAGTTCTGCGGAAAAGGACCTAGGGGTGACAGTGGACGAGAAGCTGGATATGAGTCAGCAGTGTGCCCTTGTTGCCAAGAAGGCCAATGGCATTTTGGGATGTATAAGTAGGGGCATAGCGAGCAGATCGAGGGACGTGATCGTTCCCCTCTATTCGACATTGGTGAGGCCTCATCTGGAGTACTGTGTCCAGTTTTGGGCCCCACACTACAAGAAGGATGTGGATAAATTGGAGAGAGTCCAGCGAAGGGCAACAAAAATGATTAGGGGTCTAGGACACATGACTTATGAGGAGAGGCTGAGGGAGCTGGGATTGTTTAGTCTGCAGAAGAGAAGAATGAGGGGGGATTTGATAGCTGCTTTCAACTACCTGAAAGGGGGTTCCAAAGAGGATGGCTCTAGACTGTTCTCAATGGTAGCAGATGACAGAACGAGGAGTAATGGTCTCAAGTTGCAGTGGGGGAGGTTTAGATTGGATATTAGGAAAAACTTTTTCACTAAGAGGGTGGTGAAACACTGGAATGCGTTACCTAGGGAGGTGGTAGAATCTCCTTCCTTAGAGGTTTTTAAGGTCAGGCTTGACAAAGCCCTGGCTGGGATGATTTAACTGGGAATTGGTCCTGCTTTGAGCAGGGGGTTGGACTAGATGACCTTCTGGGGTCCCTTCCAACCCTGATATTCTATGATTCTATGCTCCCAGATAGTTGAGCTACACTGGAAAACAGCCTTCTTATTCCAGAATAGGAGTATCTAGATGGGTAGCTATACCAGTATAACGATAGTGGTTTACAAAAAGAAAAGGAGTACTTGTGGCACCTTAGAGACTAACCAATTTATCTGAGCATAAGCTTTTGTGAGCTACAGCTCACTTCATCGGAGGCATAAAAGTGGAAAATGCAGTGAGGATATTTTTATACACACAGACCATGAAAAAATGGGTGTTTATCACTTCAAAAGGTTTTCTCTCCCCCCACCCCACTCTCCTGCTGGTAATAACTTATCTAAAGTGATCACTGTCCTTACAATGTGTATGATAATCAAGGTGGGCCATTTCCAGCACAAATCCAGGTTTTCTCAGTGGTTTAATATACCAGTATAATTGTACTGATGTAACTAGTAAAAACCTCCCCTGTACACTAGCCCTTAGATGCTACCAGATGGGAATGGTGGCGTTTTACACCTGTACCCGCCCCTTCCCTACACTTTGTGGCAGTGTGCAAGGAGCAGTGGAATGGGGATCTATACATTCAACATGGTAAAGTGAGGAGACTAACATCAGATCAGGGGAGGGAGTTGGTAAGGAAAGGACAAGTTTTACAGAAAAAAAGAAAAGGAGGACTTGTGGCACCTTAGAGACTAACAAATTTATTTGAGCATAAGCTTTCGTGAGCTACAGCTCACTTCATCGGATGCAGCTTATGCTCAAATAAATTTGTTAGTCTCTAAGGTGCCACAGGTACTCCTTTTCTTTTTGCAGATACAGACTAACACGGCTGCTACTCTGAAACAAGTTTTACAGAAAGTCACAAAATTATTTGTCTTACGGCCTCGTGGGGCTAGTTCCTATTTTCTCCTTTTATTGTGTTCTTGTGAATTGTGCTGTTAATTTCTTTTTAAGGGTGGGGATGGGCATTGGAAGCATCTAGTATGGGAACCAGAAAGGAAAACTGATTGTAAACAAAAGTGAAAATGATCAACCTAATTGCATTTGCTATTTCCCCATGCCTAGACCTCACCCACGGGAATACCACAGAGGCACAGGTATCAGAGGGAGCAGATCCTAATGCAGGACGAGAGCCATAATTTGTAAAGTGCTGTATAAAAGATACCAAACACGTTATTAACTGGAGATTGTCATGACAGTTTATATGTCAATCACAAATCTCATCTATCTGCCATCACTTACTTATGACCTTAACTTTGCACACGTAACTGGGACCACCCCCATGCTTATAGCTAAGCACCCACATGTTTGCAGTATGCTAGAGGTATTTATAAAAGGCCCATCCTGTGGTAGCTTAGATACTTATAGCCCGATTTTTAAAAGGTATTTCGGCCCCTAGTGGGATTTGCAAGCGGGCCTAGGTGCTTTTGAAAATCCCACTAGGTGCCTTTCGAACATTCTTTCAGAACTCCGGCCCCTTGGGCCTTTACACACTAAGGCTGCCATCTGCAAATGTTTTTTTAGCTTCTTTGGGGGGTGTCCCCTGGAAACAGGCTGGGCCTGATGACCAGAAGGCATTGAGCAGCCAAGAATCCAGCTGAACGGGAGCCGTGAGGGCGCTCGGTGCCTCTGAGAATCAGGCCCCAGGCTCCTCCAAATACCAAGGCACTGAAAATCAGGGGCCACTTTTGAAACCCTGGGCCCAAAGGCCCATAACGCTTTGGAGTCTCCTGGCTGCTGCCGTTCTCAGCCCGTTTTTAGGGGCTGTTCGTTGGGCCCTGGCAGGCTGACCAGATGTCCCGATTTTGTAGGGACAGTCCTGATATTTGGGGCTTTTTCTTATCCAGGCTCCTGTTACCCCCGATCCCCCTGTCCCGGTTTTTCACACTTGCTGTCTGGTCACCGTGGCCCCAGGAACAGGGGCTGCACCTGTTGAAAGTCACAAGCCCCTGACTCCAGTGGGGCCCCTGCCGGACGAAAGTCACCCGCGCGTCTTTGCCAGCTGGGGCCCCGGGCCGGTTACTCGCCAGCCCGCCGCGGCTCACGGCCCCGCAGCGCCGAGCGGCGCACCCCGCCTTTGCTAACCCACCCCCACGGCTGAGCAACCACCGAGGGGTGGGAGCGGAGGCCGCGCGGGGCGGGGCGTGTCCGGCTCCGCGTCCCCAGGCCCGGGGAGCGCCGCGCCGCGCCGCGCACAGGCTGGGTGCGGGGCCAGGGCGCACCTGGGGGCGGCTCCCCGCGCTCCGGCCCGGGGCTGTTCTCTAATCAGGCGCCGGCGGAGGAGGGGCCGAGCCCGGGCGCCGGGCGCGCCGCGCTGCCCGCCCCCAGCAGCAGCCATGGCGGAGGAGTAGCGGGGCGGAGCAGGAGGGGGCGGAGCGGGGCGCGGAAAGTTGCGCTGCCCGGGGCCATGCCCGCCGGGCGCTCGGGCTGGGGGCCGGGCTCAGCCAGCGGCGGCGGCCGGCGGGGATAAGGAGGGAGCCGGCGGCGGCATGGCTTCCAAGGAGCGGCTGTACGAGCTGTGGATGCTCTACTTCGCCAAGGTGAGCGTGGGTCGGGGGGCGCCTGCCAGCCCCCCACCCCCCGCTGCCCGGGGAGGGGCGCCGGCCAACCTCCCCCCCCACCCGCGCCGCTTTGTCCCGGGGGGCACCTGCCCAGGGCGCACCTGTTAGCCGCCCCCCCCCCTCCGGGGCGCACCCCCCCAGCTCGCCCTGCCCGCCCGGGATGGGGTGGGAGCAGCCGCCGCCGGTGCATCCCCCTGCCCTGAGCTCACCCCCCGGCCGCGGGGGAGAATCCGCCCCCCTGCCCCTGGAGGCGGAAGTTTTTTTCCCCCCCCCCTCCCCGCCGCTTGGCCACACTTTGGTGCCGGTGCTTTGCTAGCCACGGGGAGCCCCCCCCCCTCCCGAGCCGCAGCCGGCGGCCCCGGGGACCGTGGGAGCCGCTCGCTCGCGGCCGGGGCGCTCCTGTTGGCTGGGGGTGATTCTTTCGCCTCGGCTGCCGCTGGACTCCCGGCCCCGGTGCCGCAGGCCCTGGCGACTGTTCCCCGGCGGGGGCAGAGGAGAGACGGGCTCCCGGGAATCCAGCCGCGCGGGGAAGTTTAGCCGCGCTCAGGTCCAGTGCCTGGGAGGTGAAGGAGTCGGCAAAGCCTCGCGGGGGTGAGGTCTTTGCAGGCGGAGCAGGAAGGAGAGTCCCCTAGGGCTAAAAAAAAAAAAAAAAGGGAAATCGATTTAAAAGGAATCCGGAGCGACGCGCCTCCCTTATAAACTGACACGGTTCACGCCGTTCGTTGCTCCGCCTGCCTCTGCCTCGCCCTGCCGGTTGGTGTGTGGTGTCACCACCAGGCTTTGCCGTTGCTGTGTGTGAACGAGTCTCCGCAAACACGAGGGGAACTGGGCGAGCGCACAGCGCTGCCGGATGCACAGGAAAACGGGGGAGGGAAATGGCCTAACCTCTCTTCAGTTCCAGTCATGGTGCTTTTGACAAGAGAGTAAAACTTTTTTTTTCAAAGCAGGAGGCTTGCTTCTGGGGGATGATAAATGCAGAGTTTGAGCGTGTATGTTGCAAGTAAAAATTAAAAGGGCACTTTCTTTAAAAGATCTTAAATTCACTATTTACTTTTGTTTGCTTTGTGCACTTCAGGTAGGCTAGACATTAAAACGTGGCTAGTCCGTTTCACTGCTTCCCCTCAGTTAGGCTTTTTGCTGGCGCTTCCTTTTGACTTTTTGTCTGCAAGGCACCATGCACCCTGGTGGTGCTTCGATGATGTTTGAGCTGCAAGTGCTCTGCAGGAATGTGTATTTGCTAAGCTGGTTCCTTTTTAGAAATTTTTTTTTAAAAGATGAAATGTTTTTGTTGCTCTCTTGTTTTGTGAAGATTCTTTTCCACAAAACATAAATGTTGCCCACATTTGAGCTGATGCTGTCCCTTTAAATGACCTTTGGAGTAGGAGACACTTAAACTGTCTCTTTAAGATTAATTTTGATCTCTGCCTGTAGAGCACTGTTTCGTAAAGAGGTGACAGGCATTGTATGTTCATGTCAACAAGATGCATGTGGGTTATAGGCTTGTTTAATGTCCGAGTCTTCCCAGAACTCTCTTGTTTTGGGTACTAGCTGGCATTGATGATTACATCTCACGTGTGCCTTATTTCATTCTGCTAAGGCAGCTCCTACAAGCGAACCCGGCCCCCTACAGCAGAGCTTTGTTTTAGTGCCCTAAACATGACATCTGCTGGGGGAATTCCTCCTCTGTTCAGGCAAGGAAGTTCTCTCCGCGTTTAGCCTGCTGATAAAGTCAGTTCAGTGTCATGGGGGAACACGGGATAGCAAACGGTCACTTCTTCACCTGAAGAAATCATTTGTAATGTGAAAGCATATATAGCCTTGGCCTTTTCTTTTCTAAAGGCGCAGGCTTGTATGGAATAAAAAGATTGAGCCAGCTGGGGAGATGAGAGCAGTAACAGCTAAACGTTCCCAGTTCCAAAATTGATTTTTCTAAAGGTCGAATTTAATCCTGAGTCCATGGACTGCAAAATGGTAACTGTAGTGCACGAGCCTGATTCTTTGGGGAAAGTTACCACCCTCCAAACCCGAGAACTTGATGAACCAGAGCTAAGATTGGTGGTTCACCTGCACCCATCTGAACAGGTTACAGCGAGATTGAAGCCTTCATTCTGTATCTGCCTTTCCCATTGTGAGGATTGTTCTGTCTCTTCCTGCTGTGTTGCATCTTGCACTCGAACTGAAGCAATCTTTCCCTCTTGGAGGGAGAAGGTCAATTGACCGCTGTTAAGTCTGCAGGCTTGGACTCCTCCCTGAGAACCAAAAGAGGGGGATGTGTACATGCAGCAGAATGTCAGGGGGAGGGATATTACAGTTGACTTCAGTTTTTCTTAAAAAAACCAAAACCTCCCACCCCAAACCAACAACCTTTAAGAAATTAAAATGTGTAGAGATTCCCTGTGACAAGAAGAAAAGGAGGACTTGTGGCACCTTAGAGACTAACAAATGTATTTGAGCATAAGCTTTCGTGAGCTACAGCTCACTTCATCGGATGCATTCAGTGGACAAGAGTCACTTCCAAGCAAAAAACCACCCTTAACATTCTGGAAGGATGCACGCAGTGTTCTTTGTAAGCAAAGGGGGGTGGATGCTATCTCAAGAGACCAGGTAGTTATGAATCACAGAATTGACTCTGTGTGTGGTTGCTGGTCAGAGTTATCTGGGTACCTGATGGAGGAAGAGAGGAGGGAGGTGAACAGAGAGAGAAGTGGATAAGTAAAGGCATGGATGTCTGGGGACAGGGGGATGTATGGTACCTATGCCTTACTGTGGGAGATGTATTGATTATGTTGCATCTTGTTGAACCTCCGAGGAGGAGGAGTATCAATCTAGATTGTTGCAATGGCATCTTCTAGGTGATAAGCACTGATATCCCATGATGGTGGGAGCTCTGCTTAACTGGGATATGTCACCATTACCCTGCAATGTGTTAATAGGCATTAACAGCTCTTCCTGCGGGCTTCTGAGACCCCATGCTGGATAACAGGGAGAGCTGGAAACTGAATTTAAAATGCTATTTCTGTTTGCAGTGGAGGTGTCACTAATGTGCAAATACAACTCTTCAAGGGCCTGCAGGAGGCTATGCCGTTGGTTATGTTAATACTGGATTTCTATACACACAGCCTTCATATTTTACGGCATGACCTGCTATTTATGTATACGAATACTTGCAATTAAAGTCTCTAGGAATGTCTGTACACCTGTGTCTGACGCCTTTCCATGTTCCTACGATGTTTGTTACGTGAAAACACCAACTGCTGTTCTTGGGAGCATTGCTTTCCCCACTAGGAGTCCTCTGCTTGTGAAGATTTACTCCAGCCATGGTGCCCTGTGAAAAATCCCTCTACAAAATCTCTGGGGCTGCTATTTTTGGCTAGGACTCCGGTCTGAAGCTAACGCTGGGAATGTAGGCCAGTCAGTGCAACAGCAGGCCCTGTCTTCTGGCAACTGCCTTTGAAAGGCAGAGACAAGAAGCATGCAGAGATAGCGTTATCTCTCTTTAACATCCCAGTGGAATGCATGGCTTGCTAGCTTTGATCATCCGATTTGGGCTGAATATCAAATACTCCGCAGTCCGTTTCTCTTACATTGTCCTTCATTGTGTCAGAAAAATTAAAATAAAACCCAGGGGGCTGGTTAGGAGGCGAGGGAGACAAAATCAATGGGATGATGGAGATCAGCGAAGATGCCATGTGTGTCTACTAACCCACAGTAAATTGACTCTTTCCTGTTAAAGAATAATTAACATTGCTGATGCCTTCTCAGCTTGTAAAAATGCCTTTGTTCATGAGCTGTGTGAGTTCTTTAACAGATTATACTAAAGCCTTATCGAGCAGATGATGGATCTTCGGTGTTCTTCTTAATCATTTTCTCTCTGAGCTTTCTCTGTTAAGTACATTAAGTATTGGGGAGTGAAAAATGATCACTTATGTTGTATCATGCCGTCAATTAAACACATCACTGCAGCGTAGTGAAATGGGACTAGAAGTAAGTGGCCTTTGGGGAGGATGTGAGCTTCTTCCAGCCCGCTGACCACCTGACAAAACCCCAACTTCCGACGTTCTGTAGTGACATGATTAATATTACAGTAGTGCCTAGAGGCATTGAGATCAGAGTCTCCATGGTGCGAGGTGCTGCACAGAAAGACAGTGCATCTCCATCTAAATAGAGAACATAAGAACAGCCATATTAGGTTAGCCCAAAGGTCCATCTAGCGCAGTATCCTGTCTTCCGACAGCGGCCAATGCCAGGTGCCCCAGAGGGAATGAACAGAATAGGCAATCGCCAAATGATCCATTCTCTGCCACCCACTCCCAGCAGAAAGGATTAGCCTCATCTTGCAGATGAGAAACTGAGGCATGGGGAGGGGGTCACAATGTCAGAGTCCGTGGTACAGCTAGGAATTGAATCCAGATCTTAAGTCCCAATCCAGTGTCTTCACCACAGCTCTGCCTTTACTCTAGGTGAGGAAGGCTCTGGCTTTGTATAACAGCTTGCCCTATAAGCGCCTTGGAACTGGGCTGAGGCCTGCCCGTTTTGAAGAACCATGGAGAACTTGAACTAAGCTTCCTTTTCCATTTAGAACTAGGCGTGTGGCCATCTTCACGCACCAGTTGGCCTGGAGGCTGATGGTGAGAGGAGGACATCCAAAGTTTGTTTTTGTGGGGCTGCTAGACTCTGGTGATGGACTAGAAGGAGGCATTGACTAGTACCCTAGCATGCCCTTGTGGCTTCTGGCTAGTCTGAGCTTAGGGAGTTGCTGAAAGCCTGGAGGTGCATGGAGCTATACAGTCTCCTTTTGAAAGAGGTAACCATTCTGGAGCTGCAGGTCTCTCAGTGGCTCTTGGCAGGACTCCGCTGTTTCTTGTCACGGCCCGTTGCAGCCACTGGCAGCTCTTATTAAATGACTGCATGCGTGTACCTTCTGTTAACGTGGACCAATCAAGTGTCCGATCAGCCAGGTCCATCTGCTCCCGGTTTGT